AATATTGAACATCTAATGAGACTGTGCATTTTCCATAGTTTTATTCCGTTATACTTGACATATGATAAACTAGACATATTTAAGAGAGAGTGCATTTGAGAGAGCATCTGTAAACCGGAGAAGTTTCATCTCCATCGGGCTTAGAGTCCCCAGTAGTCCCTAAATTTTTGAAGCCATTTCTGCCTAATTTTTAAAAGCCTTCATACCTGGGCTGCACCTTACCTGGTCAACCTCATTTCTCACCACTTCCTAATACAGTCACTCTGATACAGTAAGACCAGCCTTCTTCATTTAACATGCCTTTCGCTGGCTTTTCCCTCCAAGTTCCCAGCACTCGTGTGTCAGCACCTGGGTTCTCCCGCATTCATTCAGGCCCTGACTGAACACATACGCTCTGCCAAGCACCGTTCCAAGCTCTGGGGATGCTTCTGTGAGCAAGACAAGTTCAAGGACCTCCAAGGGAGCTCTCGGTAGTCTCCCTGGGGTTCTCTTGCCAGAATCATCCTTCCCTAGGCAAGTCCTCCCAGCTTCTGCTTCCCTCTCCTCTAGAAAACCTGTCTGAATTCCTATTAACTCATGATCCTGTCCCTCTTTTTTTCCTGCAGTGCTTGTAGGCTGTCTCATACGATTTGATGTATGTCATTTTATTTGGTAAAATTCTCACAGATGAAAGCACTACCCAGGAATCTATTTCTCCGCATCCTCATAATGAACACTAGACACATGAAATGCTTATTGATTTCAGAAGAGTGCATCAGAAAGGCAGGGCATGTGCGAGAAACTTTCTGAGAGAACAGGCGCACCCCCTCCCTCCCATCGCCCCTCTGTGTCACCTGCTCCGTGGGCTGGTTGGCGCCTTTGGAAGGGCAGCACTAGTGAGGACAGCTGATTCACAGCTTGTCCAAAGCCAACCACAGGGGAAGCCACGCTCAAGGACATGTTCCTGCCGCTAGTGAAAGACGAGTGTCTCCTAGCAACCAGATTCCAGTGGCTTCCTGGCCTCAGGAGCCTGCCCCTGCTCACTGCTTTGTTGCCTCAAGTTTTGCATTTTGGCGTTGCAGATCATTGCATTCATTCTAGCTTCCAAAACTTTAGGAAGAATGTCTGATCCGCAAGCTAGCTGACTAGATTAGCTCTGAGAACCATTTCATTCATAACATCCTTTCGGTAATCATATAACTTTCATGGAACAGAATGTGTGGTCTTAAGCTTCAGAAGGGTGAATACATTTTTTAAAGCTTTTATTTATATCAGAGCAGCTGGTTTGAAAGATACATAAAAAGGAAAAAGCATACATTCTTTCCATCCAATAACCAAAAAGTACTCAGATGTTTTCAAAAAAGATACACTATCATTCAAAACCTGTTACAGCAATAAACTTTAACTTGGCAAATTCACAGATGCAGAAAGAAAGGCAAGACAAATTTGAAGAAAGTGACTCGAGGTCCTTAAAAGTTTTGATGGCTTAAAATTATGTCTGCTGCAGTATGGCCTCAGCCGCAATTCTTTCAGCGTTCTTTCTAGAGATTTCCAGCCTCAGCTCTATTGTATGTAGTGCTACAGTTTTAAACTAGTAGGATTGAATTTCGCAGCTGCTGTTGCCTTTTTAGTTTTCTCTTGTTCTAATAGAATATTCGTCAAGACACAGCAAGGTACTCATTCATTTAAAAACATTTATTCAGACTTCCTAGTGACAAGCTCTAAAACAACTCTAAATAATGGCCTTAACTCCCCAAGCCCCATAAAGGTGAGTTAAAATTTAGACTACTCTTCTCCTTCAAAAACAGCAACTCAGAGACTGAAAGGTGAATGAGGTGCCTAAGTCATGTGCCAAGAGGACTGGTAAACCCAGAGGTCTTCCCCAGCAAAACCCAAACCACCGCTGCTTGGCATTGCCCTTGATTCGCGAGCAGCAAACTCAGGCTTACAGAGCCCACTGCTGCATTCATACAGCGAGCTTGGTCTCTGTCCGGTCATGAGTCCTTTGGAGGCATCTCTCCATTTCCTCTCCCTTCCCTTCCCCTCCTCCCAGCAATAAGAGTCACAAAGTCTTGAGTCAAAGATTAGTTCTATTTTGATGGTGGTGGACTCTCACTAAACCTCTTGAGAAGAAAACTCCCACGTTTACCAGCTAGCTGCCATCGCCTTGCATCTGTCCATCATCCGCTTGAGAATCTATCTGCGGATGGATTTTTACTAAAACCGTGTTGAATATTCCCTAGGCCAGGCCAACTTACGAGCTCTCGGATGTGCTCTCTCGGGGCTCTGTGCACATTTGTTTTAAGGGTGTAGAATTAATCGTGTGATTAAAGCAATGCACCCCTGCCTCACCCTTGGCTTGCTCATTAAGTGACTTTATATGTGGATCAAGGCTTTTCTTACTGCCTCAGGTAGTTCTTCGTTCCCCGAAATTTTCAGGACACGCACCAATTATCTTCAGAGGATGAATATCTTTAAAGCCCACGAAGAACTTTTGGTGAAAAGAAAAACTTACTCTGCCCCCACCCCTTGTCTGAGTTCCGCTTTCTTGCCCTTTTACCCCCATGCGACTCCATTCACGTGCTGTGTTAACACCAGTTCAGGTAAATTCAGCATCATCATGGCTTTTCAAGGGGTGGGGGGCAACTAACCCTGACTTCTCTGCAGGCCCTTTTTAAACACCTACTTGTCGTCGTGGAATGAGCCGGGGACAGGCCCTGGGAGGCAGGCCCGTGTCTCACTCCCCTGAGCCTGGCATTCAAATTTCTGCACGAGACACAGATGATTCAAGGCTGGGTTTCAGCCTTAATCATTTCCATTTTCACCATGGTTTACACAACAGTTGTAAATGACCAAATTGATTAGGGGCTCTAAAAGCCAAACAGACTGGGAGGCAGTGTAGGATAGTGGTCGACTAACTGCATAGCTTTTGCATTCCCCTAGACCTGGGTTAGACAGCCGGATCTGTCATTTACTGGCTGTGTGACCTTGGGAAAGTCCCTTGACTTCTCTGAGCTTCATTTTTCCTTACCCGTGAAACAGAGATTGATAACTACCGGTATGGAGGTCAGTGAGAGGAGGAAGTAAAATAACATATCAAAGAATTTAGCACAGTGCCTGCGATTGCTATTTATTAAATAATAGATTATACTAGAGAGTGCTTTGATATGTGTTGGTATATTAGCTTATGTCATCAGTTTTCTGTTACTTCCATACAAAGCACTGTGCTGAGTATAGGGCTTCCCCCCACCCCCCAAATTTGAACCCTCTCTTTCCCCAAAAACTATAACCTAATTGCTAATTGAGAAACAATACAGAAACCCACAGGAAGAGTAAAAGAGAAGTTGGACACAACGTTTCCTGGAGTGCTGTCCATTCTCAGTAGCGTCAAGTCGATCTGAGGCTGATGCATGTGTCCTCATCGGTCCCACCTGAACAACCGGAGCATGAAACAGCCTCAATCCTTATCCAGCAAGTATTTATTGACATCTACTACATGCCAGGCATGTGCTAGGTGATGGATACGTCAGTCTTCCTGAGGTTTTAAGTAGCATTCAGGGTCTGTTCTAAATATTTCATTTAAATTAACTCTTTTAACCCTTCCACCCTTCAAAAGTGGGGGGAAGGTACTAGCATTAGTCCCATTTTACAGATGAGGATACTAAGCCCAGAGAGGTAATTTGTCCAAGGCTGCACAAGTAATATGCAGAATTGGATCAGGACCGAGCAAAGTGGGACTAGGGGCTGTCCTCATAATCCCCATCCTTATTGCTGACTGCGCTTGATCATCTGAGGGGCCAATTTCATGCCTCTGGCCTGGTTTGTTTACTCCTCTTTTTGCTGATAGGATTGGGGCTTCATTCTTTCCTTTCCTCTCCCCTCTGAATACCTCAGAAGGGGCTATAAAATCCCCACGGTCACTAGTTAGACCAAGCTGGGTGTCATCAGTTATCACGTTCAAGGCAATCTTTTGCTCTTTTGCATAAGAACTATAAACATACTTTGATGAATTAAAAATATCTACCTTAGGGGAGGTTTATTTCATAATCGAATAAAACAGATTTCTAATTTGAAGGATATGACAGCCTTTGAAGTATTATTTAAATTGTCCTAGACACAAATTACTTATAAAATTGAACTGTCACTTTATAGCAGAATTAAAATTAATACGCTCCTCTTGATTCTGGCACGTGGGCATAAATTCCCTTATGTAAAAAGCTCTGAAATTTGGAGGGCTAAAATCTGCACCCTTTTCTCTGTCTGCTCTTGTGTCTGCTGGTAAAAGGCAAAGAATACAAACCATCAATAACAACCAGAGTGAAGGAAGAATGTTTACTCAGAGCCAAATGTCACTTTCTTTCCGAGTTCTTCAGCTATGGTTAAAAAAAAAAATCATTAAAAAAGAAAAAAGAAAAAAAGGTCTCCTATTTGCGAATGGAAAACACTGTAAAAAGAGAAAAATGGCTACCCCAGTAGTCTCAGGATGTAAATTTTTCTTAAGGGATGGGTGCTATCCCCATACGCTCTTTGCAGAACCTAGACCATCCTGCACACGCAGTAGACCAGGCACTAAGTTTCATCCATGGTTAGCAAATGACATACAAAGAACAAAATTGCTCCCTTGAAGTTGAAATCAAAGAGCCCTGGTGAGCAGCCGTACATCGGAACGGGAGGGTACACACATGTGTGTGATGGAGGCAATCCAGAGAGAGGGGCATGCTTCCCAGGGGTTGTTTTAAACAATGACAGACTGCAAAATCTGAATGTGATGTGTTGCAACATGAAACACACACACACACACACATATGCACATGCTTGCGAAAAATATCACCAAAGTCCCTCACAGCCAAAGTTTAGAAGAACACGTGCTCTGGACATAGCAACAGTAATTCCAAAAATCACTCCATTTATGATTCCATTCCTCATCTCTTTGATCACTTTGGCACATTATTCAGGAAATAACAGAAAGAGAAATATGAAGCTGGAGACAGAAAATTTAATTATAAAACAAAACCACCCACCTTGTTTTCAGGGTCAGGAAGTACAATGGCCTTCTTTTGCAGCAAGAATGAACTTAACACCAGTGTGCTAAATGATCATGTATATATTTAAAAGAAAAGGAAACGTTTTGTTTTTTTTTTTTAAAAAAGAGCTGCAATATCTCAGTCCTCATAGCAAGTCTTAACAAAAATAAAAAAAATTTAAAAAATAATAAAATAAAATAAAAGCAGCATACTGTGGTTCTTTGGCACAAGGCAGAAAGGGGAGTCCTTAAGTCACTATTCCCCTGTTTTGCGAAACAAAACAAAAAGCAACAGCAAAAGGTGCTGTTTGGCAGGAGGGGAAGGACCTTAAAAACACCTCGTGCCCTCCTGGGTCCCTCCCAGCGCCTTCCCTCCGTCAGGGCTGTAGAAGCCGCAAAGATCAACACCAATGTCACCATCGGCTGCTTAAATGCCACAAAAGTACACTTAGAAATGAGAGGAAAGTGACTGACACGAATATGCTGAGCCAGCCCCACTGCCACTAGAACAGCTTTAAATGCCCACACAAGGAGAATAAAAAGAAAAGCACATTTTGCAATAGAATAAATTCCTTTTTTTTTTTTTTTTTTTTATTGAGACCGCGGAAAGTCACATGACCCTGCATGTAGCCTTTTAGGAAAGCAACCGAAATGGTAAAGCAAGGCGCGGGGGCTGCCTCCTTCCTCCCGCCGCCGCCTCTCAGCCCATCCCGCCGCGTGTCCGCATTCTTCTGGGCTCATCTGTGGAGCTATTAAGTGGGATAATCCCTCTGGCCTTTGATACATTTCTGGACATGATTATTTCATTACTCGCAGTATATCAGTAGGATCATAATAAAAAGGACTTCTGACAACCTGCCAAGAGTTTTGTGGCCTTGTAAACACAAAAGTGCTCTAATAAAATTTTATTAAGTGTTAAAAAGTCATAAAAAGTGAAATAACATAAACTACAAAATTTACTGTCCTCAGCAAATGCTGAAAATATCGTCCACAGTAAAATTAAATTAGCATGTAATAGACAGAGGAGCAGTGTGGAGTGGATTTAAAAGAGGATCCAGGGAAAATGACACTGTAACCCAATCTGGGTCACGGGGATTTAATTCGGATTCTTCTGCCTAAATGTGAATAAATGTGCTGATTACAGACAAGAGCTCCGGGGTTACTGGAGTCTCACACATTGTCAATACTTTGGGAGAAATAATAAATTGCAGATTGTACTGAGCTCGGAGCCCGAGCGAGCGCGGCGGGGAGCGGCCGAGGGGCAGGGCGTCCACTAGGGTGCGCTGCGAGACCGGGAATCCCCGCCACGCGCCCACGCGGCCGCGCCGCCCCAGCCGCGCGCACACGCTCTGCCCTCGCCCCCCTCCAAATCATATTTACAGTTCCTCTTTTTTTTTTTCCTTTTCCCCCCTTTCCTGTGACATTTACTCCAAATCGGAAAGTCAAGTGTAAGTCGAGCTTCGTCGCAGGCGGCCCTGGGTCTCCGCTTTCAGACTCGGGGTCCCGGAGTGGGGCGCGTTGCCCCGACGCTGCTAACCCGGGGGACGGAGTGGGGACCCCCCCCCCCCCCCCCCCAGCCCAGCGCCGCGGGCCCGGCCCCCCCCCCGAGGGAGGTCGAGGAGCGCGCGAGGCCCACGGCCGGGGTGCACCGGTGCGCTCTGAGAGCGGCGGGTGGCCGGCCTCGCGGCGGGTTCAAGTGCATGCCCGTGGTTGGAGCCCGCGGCTCTGCGAGCGAGTTCTCCCCCGCTCAGCGCCCTCTCGGGGGTTCAGTGTGCCCCGCCGCTCCCGGGACCCCTCTCTCGGCCCTCCCAGCCGCGCGGAGCCGCCGGCCTGGGGCCCGAACCCGGGCGCGCTCCTCCCCGGCCACGGCCCACGGCGCGGGGCTGTCCAAGAGCAACGTGGAGCCTCCGCCTGGAAAAGAAGTCCGACTTCCTCTCCACGCTGCTCCGGTGCAATCTGGAATCGGCAGGAAATGGCTCGAACACCCATCCCGCGCCTTTGCCGTCAGGCCTCGCTTTGCTGAAGGGAAGCGGCTCCCACCAAAGTCTTGCCACCCCCTCCCCCCCGAAAGACCCGCGCAGGTTTGTAAAGAAGGGTGCGAGAGCTGCAAAGTATTTGTCTTCTAGGGAGAGAGATGTTGGTGACGGTGCCCAGTGAGAGATGCGGCGCTTTTGAGGTCGAGCTCATCAGTGGGCCGCATCTTGTTTTGTAGTTCCAAAATAATGCCAACGCGCCCATCTGAGGAGTCACTATTAGGAGCGTATTGCTGAGAAGTTAGTGAAATAGCAAATAAATGGGAGTGACATTTCGTGGCATCATTTTTCTTCAGGGATGTTCAAGGTTTTAAGCTGCATTTAACACTTAGCTACATCTTGCCAGAAAGTAAACATTTTAAGTCAACCGGTTGCTAAAGCTCAGAAGAGGTGAGTTAAGTGACCGCATTAAGATCCTCCAGTTTCCTGTTGAGCCTCGCACAGGTTACTAGGATGAGGATGCCTGCTATTTGTGGTTTGACAGACGCCAAGAACAGTTGATTCTGATGTGCCAAGGTAGCGCGTAAAGCAAATGGAGCACCCAAGGATCTTTCTGATAAGCAATGTTCACTTGACACTTCTAGCCCCAAATAAATATAACTTATTTATAGTGGGAGTTAGAGCCCCATGTTTTAGATTTTTTTGTTGTTGTCGTTATGACTTATATGAAAAAAATGTGGTTTTTTTTTAACAATTTAAAAAAAAATCCTGTTTATTGTCATTTGCGAAGTATTGAATTTGAAGTAGCCTGGACTGGATCGTTGGAGTTAAAAAAGCAAACAAGTCCATTTAAATGTGGTTTGACATTTGCCGTCAAAGGATTTGAGACCTACTAAAAACAGAATTAAAAGGAATGGATATAAATAAAAAATTCCTTTTTGACTCCATTCGCCTGCCTGGGGGGAAGGGACAGAAGACATGTCAGCGGCCCAGTCTGTGAGCCATTCCCAGCAAACAGCAGTTGTAAATGTGGTCGGTCAGTGTTGCCTTTGAAAACGAAGGGCAGGTACGTTTATGGAAGTACAGAAACAATTATTTTATCACATATAATTTTCTCAGGAGTTCAGACTAAAAGTTTTGTATTTAAAATTTTATGATAAACGTTTTTTCATTGATCTGTGAATTCCAAAAGGAAACTTTATACTCGTATTATTTTGTTCTGTGTTCACCTTTCAGATTGAAGTTCGTCTGTCCTTCAGAAAAAGCATTTTCATAATTATTAAAAACACCACATCACGACTAGCATTTTTATTTCTCTTCAGGTAGATAAATGATTGGTGTAGGTAATTTTTTAAAATTTTAAACAAGATTAGTACAACCCTACTCAAGGAGTTTAGTGGACGGGAGAGGGTTTCCAAACCCATAAATGCAGTCCATATAAAATTGTAATATCAAAGGTTTTTTGTATAGAAACTTGGGAATTAACACATTTTACATGAATATAAAAACATGTCTTAAAGGGGTTCTTCCACACTATTTCCCTCTTTCAGAAAAACATCAGAGACTGTTTTCCATTCTCTAGAACCACTATAATCATGTATAAGAAGATTATTACATAACAACATTTCTGTCAAGATGGTGGATACTTTTGAATGTATTCGAAGGAAAAAGAATATTCTTGGCCCTTGATATGTTGGAGGTACTTGAAAAGGCAAGAAGTTTGTAAAAATATTTTACTACTGTAATCTATAAGACCATTAAAATGCGCAAGTAGTTATATTCTAAGTGACTGAGAAGTATTTTTTCCAACCACTTTTTTAACTTTGAAATTTTTGTGTGTACTTTAATTAGTGCCTTTCTTTTAAATGTTCCAAGAATTGTATTATATTAGCTGTATGATAATAGTGTTATGGGACTTTCTTGTTTTCATTTGAGAAAAATTTTATTTAAACCTTTTTTTATATAAACCAATGGATAAATGTGAGCATGTGCCCTGTTGAAGTAAAAATCAACCCAAGTTCATTTTTCTCTTCAAAATTTGACATTGATCCTGATCTCACAGTTTTCATGCACTCAATCTGCTACTGAAATCAATTTGGACATGCCAGTTTGCAGGAAAATTTTAAGACAGCGCAACTTGTACGTGGAAGAATGTATGTTAAGGTAGGAAATAGCTAATAGCCGAAATTAAACCAGGACGTATACGTGTAGCATTCACTCATTTGGATGGTAATTTTAAAGGCACTTTTGCACTCAGGAAGGATTTCCTTGTTCTGTGTATTTATGAATATCTAAATTGTGCTACACTGCAACTTAAAAACTCCATAACCAGATACCGAATTTATGTATTTTTAAGGTGACTGAGGCTAAGGATATGAGAAGCAGATTGGCTTCATGAAAGAAAGCATTTAAAATTATATTTTAAAATATAAACTTAATTTTGGTTTCTGACAGAAATCTTGTGGCCAGCTCATCAGTTTTCCAGATCAGTTTTAAAGCAGCATGTAAAAACTACCTTTTCCACATTAGAAGTTCATATTTAAGTTTCCTGAGCTGCAAAATCACTCTAAAACAGAGTGGTTTACGTTAAGGGCCATTTCACGTGTTGGTCCCATTGATTACATATGAATGTATAAAAATCTTGTTTAAAGACCAGTAAAAGTGAGGAAATTCCAAGTCAAGCTGGCTAATTCCATTCATAATTCATCCCGAGTGCCTAACTTAAGAAACTTGCAAACAGTTTATAGCTATACATACAAAATCAGTTGACTTGCTTTGTAAGCGGGGAAGCAGGGTCAACTTTGACCTTGTTGTTCAGAGAGGCTTACGTTGATAAAACTATGGAATGTAGGTTAAGCTTTTTGGTGACAGGAATTTTCCAACCTCAAACCTTTTCTGATTTTCACTTTTTGAAAATGTAAACACAGAAGGACAACTTTTGTGTTGTGAAATGGGATTGCCTTTCACCCACCCATTTCCTTCCCGCTTGCACCTTTGTTCAGTAATTCTTCTGAGTGCTGGGAGAACGAGAGGCCCCGCAGGGAGAAAAGAGCCCGAGCTGTGCTCTGTCCCCTCAGCCATGCCCGTCCCCAGCCCTTTCATTCTGAGAGAACTGGACAGGAATTGAGTACTCATTCTGACATGGTGCAGACTGCTGCGTTCACGGCCCTCAGTGCTTTTGGGGATTGGCAAGACCTCCATTAAGACGTGGCACTCGGAGCGGGGAGAAACGAATCCTGAGCCTCGATATTGGGGAGCTTCCAGGCTGTCCTTCAGACCTGAAGTAATCATCTGCTCCTTTTCCAAGGCCGCACCGTAGGCCGATGCCTTCCCTTGGTTTTCATGTTCAGGAAGACGTTAAAACATTTTCATAGTTTCTTAAAAATTCTCAGCCATTGTAATTTTAAACCAGACCAATTTTAAGAGCAAAAACTAGCCCAGAGAGAGTCTTTACATAGTAACTTCAATCGGATGTGAACTCAAGCACCTTTTTAAAAATAAGATCTTGAAAGGGTGAGTTGCTGGTGGAAAGGCTACCTTCTACGTAGCGTAGGGATCCTCAGGACCAGTTAATATCCACCAAACACGCGTCATTAAACTGGAACAAACATGACCCTGAATTACTGGCTCCCCGTTTTCCTGAATGTAGGTCATTTTGTGCCCTTACAATTTAATGTTTGAAGGGATTTCCTGTCTTTGAAGTGCAGCGCTTTGTCACCTGTTTGGATAGCCTCCTTAAAAGTAAGGGCTCTGTTCCTACTTTGAAAGACTTAGTGACTCCACGTCCCCTGACTAGAGTTTCCCAGATCACTAAAGGCAGTGTATCTGCAGGTGAGGGTGTCTCCTTTACAAGTCAGTGCCTGCAGATCCCATACTCCAGACTTGGTTTCTCAAGGTCAGAGCCTACAAGAAAAGCCCGGAGCTATCCATTCACCTGGGCGAAGCCATAAAGAGGTAAGCTTTCATAATGAGGAGCCATATATCAAAATTCTTAGCTTTTGAGAACTGGAATAACTAGTGTGCAGGCATTGGAGTCTCATGCTAGAGCAAAGGACAATAACTGGGGCCAAATGTGCCTAGTGGGTGACACCCATTTAAGTAATGACCCACACTGAAATGTGCCTTTAAGAATGTATTATTTTTAACTTAAGAATGTATCTTATTTTGTCACCTTGTATTATAGGGGTCCTACAGTTAAATATTTTTAGTGAAAACGTGTGTATTGAATAAGTAAATGTCACTCACATTGAACAATATGTAGGAGACAGCTATGAGTTGGTTCTGGGAACTGTAGGTATGCTTATTTTTACCAAATGATGCAACATGAGCCAAACCTCTTGATAAACTATAGCACGCCCTACAGATGAAAAGCTATTTGCAGATATTTAAGTGACCATTTACCCTCAGCCCGTGCACCAACTAACCTGTTAGGTAGGCACATCTACCGACTTGTCGCTATGAAGATTCAACTTGTTCTCTTTTGGAGTGCTTCACTAATTGTTGGAAAGCCTGGACACAAATCAGGGATCATCACAGTAGCCCTCACCGAGAGTGTTTTCATCTTAATATGAAATAAACTGTCAGAAGTTTATGAATTGGGCGGGGGCTTTCTTTTCAAAGAACTGGATTCACGTATGCATGAAATTAAGACATTCTGGTAAGTGAGAGGGAGAAAATAAAGATAGATTCCTACATAGTTTCGGCTTAAGGCCACAATCAAACAGAAGAAAGTGGACAGAAGCTGAGCTGCTTAAAGGAAGGAGTATGAGGCTAAGTCTGTATCTCCTTTTTTGATAATGAATTGAAACGCAATTGTGATGTCTAGACATTTTCTTTTGGTGGGTATTAATCACCCTGATTCATTTGATTTCTTGGGAAGAAACTGTAGCCATTATAACTGAGTCCACCCTACTGGGTTGCTTGCTAGCTAGTGCCACAGGAATCGTCTAGAAGAAAACATCACCTTCACAAAGCATGCATCTGAAGGGTACACCTCTCGTGCCTCTCACGAAGCAAGTGGTACCCTGTCCAGCCGAGGAGGTAGACTCAGGTTCATGCATTTGTCTCAGGTTTTTGGTGGTCTTCTCCCTGGTCCTTGCTCTTAGCAAATATAAGCCAAGTCATTTGTAGGGTGTGTGTGTGTATCAGAATGGATTCTGTAGCTACCAAATGAAAATTCTGACTTTAGTCACACACTCCTGCACCTTTCACGTGGGTAAAATGTTCCAATTATTTCTTGATTACATCACGGATGATATGAGGACAAGACAGGTGGAAACAGGATACAGAGCAGCTGAGTATCTCTGCAAACTCGGAGCACTTAAAAACACTCTGAAGTCATACAGCTGCACTTTCTTTTTTTAATTGTCTTCAGTAAAACTCCAAAAACCCCGCAATGTCTACCCTAAAAGCGCCAGGGTATTTTAATTGGGTAATAACCATCCATATTTTCCTTCTGATAAATTAAAAGGAATTAAGAATGAAATTTTATGATGATTATAAACTGTATTACTGACCCAAGGGACAAGAACAGTTACGAAAAATATGTCCTACATATTTGGCATGAATATGAATTTAGACTTCTAAACCATTCATCTTAAATGCTCAAGCAACTTATTAAAGCTTATAAAATAGTATTCACATAATGATAAGAGGGTAACATACAATCATGATTGAGATCATGTCATCAATATTGCAGTGGGCTCCATGCCAAATACTGAAGCTGACTTGGTCTTTGCCTGTTGGGCTTCTGATAAAAATATAAAAGAGGTGAAAGAGGTAACAGATCTTGTGTAGCTGAGATCCCTGTTTGGTCAATAATATGTTTTAAAAATGCTTTTCACGCATCACATCTTTTCCCCTTCACCCCCTCCTGCTCTCTCCCTCCCCCCCACCCTTCCTTTCTCCTCCGATTAAAATTACAAACCATGAGAGGGGAAAGTGATTTTTGGAAAGCGTGAAAAACTGGTGAATCGGATTTTGACTACTCAATATTGGGAGTGGATCTGGACAAAATGAAACTTTATAGCTAGCAGCTGTCTGAGGATGAGTTCAGCTCACATGAACATCGAATGAGGCTAACCTACCACGCTTGGCCCAGCTTTGGCCAGAGCCCAGGATAAGAGTCCTTTTTGAGAGCAAGAGCATTTCAAGCTTTGAGTCAGTGCTACCCGCCAGCCCTCAGGATACATGAACTCTCACAGTAAACTTCTGAATGAATTTAAGACCACTAGGGAAATTGCTAGATTTCCGCGATGTGGACAAAAACAGGCATGCTAAGTGGAGGGGCTGCGTGTATCTGAATGTTTCTTAGGCCCAGCCCTGCAGAGTCCTAGTAGGTACTATTGAGACACTTACTCTATGTTAGCCCAATTAAGCACTTTCGAATATATATTTAGCTGTAAGTGGCTTGTTCCACCGAAGTATTGGTACTTTTTAGCATGACCCGCCTCTGTTATGATGATAGAAAATCCCCAAGGATTTCACCTCTGCCCATGGGCTTGGATTTTGTTCCAGCTCCACCGTGTGACCTCTGGCAAGTTGCTTATCTGTTCTGAGCTTTAGTTTCCTCACTTATAAAATGAAGGCAGTGATCCCTCTTTGCAGTGTTATTGTATTAAATGACCTAATATTTGTAAGTTAATTTTAATTTATACATTAATTTATAAAGTGCCTGGCACACAGTTTGCAGTCCGTAAATATGTTACTGGAGTTGCCAGGAAAAAAACAGATTGAATCTTAGATCTCAGTTTTTCATTACCTAAAATTTTAGAGACTGTTCA